CCTCAAAAATCCACTATTGGTTGGGCTATACTTCTTGTGTGTGTGTGTGTTACCTCTGGTCATGTGACATGGCCATAGAGCGGATTCCTGCGTCACAGCCCGGGTAGGTGAACAGCTGTTTGAGGTTGTGGACCTGCCAGACAGATACTACACCTCCATCACCACCTGTCAGCAGATACTGACCATCACGGCTGAGAAGCATGGCCTGGCAAAGAGGAAAAGAAAACAAGCTCATTATTAACTTTTTAATGTGCTGGAGAACTGTCTGGGATGTTCCAATCGCTACAGCTTTTACAGTAATAAGCCAGATGTTGTATAGTTTTCCAGTGGTAGAGCATACTGTACAGTCTGAGATGATTCCGTCACTTCATTGTCTAAATTGTTTGATCATCTGTTACCTGCCCTTCAATGCTCGGAAAAAAAAAGAAAACCCCTCGCAGCACAGCTATTCAACCTGGAACAACATGCATAAATAGTCTCCGAATAGGACTGGTGATCTGGGACCAGTTTATCTCTTATGTCAAAGTAAAGCTCATACTGTGAGGTCATGTGATCCCACAAAAGATCCTGGGTCAGCGCCGCCATCCTTAGGGGCTTTCTGTACACAGACTCTGACTTGCTACAAAGATGGCTCCCCACAGCGAGGCTGCGAGATTTACTCGTCTCATCTGCTTTTCCTGCAAACTGTAACTGCTGAATGGGTCCCCCGGGAATCAGACATACACAAATCAGGTCGTGTGTTGGAGTCTATTATGGGCGCAGTGCATAGTGGAAGCTGAAACTGAAACAGTCAGGGGCATCAATCACCAAGTAACCGTAGCTGATGAAATGACGAGGCAGAATGTGAGTTCTAAAAGCAGCAAATGACACTAATTTAGAGCTTTTCTCGTTTGTGGTTTTTATAACACCGAGGTCGGCCGTCTTTCAGCTGCAGCCGGTTTGCAGTGATTCAGCAAGAGACACTTCAATCGTCAGCAGCATGTGTGTTGAATCAGGCTCATATTAAATGGAAAAATGAAACTTAAACTTCAGTTCTGAAGTTATTTTCAGGAACTTGACTTGGTAAGCAAAACATAAATAACCCTTCAAGAGCATTACATAGTGGATGGACGCAAAAGAGTGTAGACTAAATTAAGCAAATGTTTTGTATAAAAAACCTTTGTGGAGTTTCATACCACACTGAATTAAACAAGCTCTGTTTCTCATTCTCATCACTCACGCACTTAAGATAGACACACAACTTGCACGTGAAGACGCTCACACAGGCAGGCAAATAGAAAACGGGCACACAATGATGCACTTGCATGCTGCAGGCTGGCAGGAGGCCTTGAGTACCAATCCAGCCTAATTGCCACGTTAGATCATCTTCCAAGATGGCTGGGAATAGAGCATGACTGAGTGCAGCGCCGGGTTGATTTGTGGGGTGTAGTTCTGTTTTGTGTATACGGGGTTTGTCTTGTGTATCAACATTCAGAGTTAATCTGACAACAACGATAAAATGAATGGTCAATTCAGACAATCATTATCAATGCACTTGAACTGAAGCACAGTGCAAAGAAGTACACGGGATAAATAGTGATTATTATACCTTGCAAAAGAACAGCTTTTTTTGCTGAAAACTGCTGCCTGATAGAGCTGGAAACAAGACTGATAAGAGCTGAACCAACACAGTAAAGTTGCGGGCTGTAAAACCAAAACAATGAGCTGAAAGACACTTAACAGCTCCATTGAGCTGCAGATTTGGAAGATAATTCTTTGTGAGTTCAGCTTTTACATTAAACGCAGTTATTCAATCCATTGTTAAAAAAAAAAATGAATTCACTAGTGCAGCTCTAACTTTGATAAATTGAGTTAATGCAGTCACAGCTATAAATATTGTGCACGAACAGATCGCATACTACACAATAACAGTAAAAAAAGAATATAAGAACCATTTGCCAGTTACTGTGTTGTATTAATATACCTGTGTATCTACTAATGGCGTCCATGACCTTACTGAAGCCCAGCAGGAGGCCAAAGAACTGGCAGACATGTCAGCCAGGCCAGGTAGGAGGCTGCAGACAGACATTATAAATCAGTTCCTTGCCACTGGGCGGTCAAACAAGATGGCCGATGGCTCTGTGGGAGCTAAGATGGCTACCCGGGCTCGGATGACTAAAAAATGACTCCAGCAGAAACACATGCACTTTTAATGCCCATATTTCCTACTTCTTTCGGGGGAACGGTGGGTGGATTTTAAGGCTGGGGAAGGTAAAAAGTTTAATTTATGGTGCTGTTAATCCCCCTGTTACACGGACGAAGGCAGTGAAAAAACTGCTGGAATGGTTACACTGCCTGAGTTATACTAGTACTTAAAAGACTGTAATCCATTCAGTATGGCTTCTGTCACTCGATTCTGCTATTAGACTAGGATGCCGA